TAATTTTTTATTGTTCCATCTAGAGACTGTTTGAGCACTCGTGGCCAAGTAATAAGGAGTTCTGCTGCTAACTCAAAGTCATAAGGTCTGAGTCCACCAACTGCTCTGCAGGAGAAAGATGGACAGTCTCCTCTCATGCAGTGTGCAGCCTCTGAAAACACAGTGGAAGGACAGTTCTGACTCGATGGTACATAACAACAACAACAGCAGCTGTTTTGAGGCCAGAAATTCTGTTGTTGTTATTGTTGATTGCCATTGCATCAAGCATGACTCACAGTGACCCTATAAGCAAAAGGCTTGAGGCCTTTGTATAACTATAGACATTATCAAAGTTCATAGAGTTTCCAGAGTTATGTTGTTTAGGAAGTGGATGCCACTCCCGTGTTAAACATCTCCTATTTCATAGAATATGTGATCTCCCCACAAGGATGATTTACCTAGTCCACAGTAGCAGTAGTGCTGGTTGTGAAACCTAGTCTAGTGTAATGAATACACTAGAAAGGATACACTGCAGTACTAATACTGGTAATTAATATAAATTTACTATTGTTATGTTCCATTGAGTTAGAGTCAACTCATACCTTAGTATTTACCTTTAGTATTAAGAAATCAAATCAGCTCTTGGCTGGATATGCTGTGTCAGCACGCGGGAGCCTGGGTTCGAATTCGAAATAAACTTTGTTAATTCGGCTAAAAAAAAAAAAAAAAAAATCAAATCAATGCGTTGAACAATAATGATTAATGACCATGTGAGGACAAGCTCTGGTGGCCTAGTGGCAAGAAGCTGCACTGCAATCCCAAAGGTGCATGGCTTGAATCCACAAAGGGGAAATCTCCTCCTGAGCCAGTCAGATCTGATTTGATGGTACACTCACACAAAAATAATAATAAAATAAAATAAAAAACACACAACCTTTAAAAAAAGAAATCAAATCAGATTTGAATAAATAAGGGATAAATATTTTATTGAGTTTAACTAAGAATTTAACTGGAATTAAAAGAACATTTTCATCTAATTTCTCACCCCTTATATCTGATTCATATGTGCATAATAATCCTACTTTTATTGGAATAGCCATGATGAGCATTGACCACTTATTTGATAACTAATTATATGGAGAACTTGTTTTGCTAATTGAAATCAACTTTTTGTAACTTCTGTTCATTAAGCCTAATTCTTCTCTGCCACTAAGAGTAAATCTAGTCTGTCTTCTTTGTCATAGTCAAATATTTGAAGATAATTATTATTTATTCTCTCTTTTTTTGTCACTACCCATAGTTTATAACTTTTTATTATGGTGAAAAATATAACAGAAATGTTATTTGAGCTAATTATATTTACCATATGCAAACATTTTCAAAAGTTTTTTATTACTCCTGTATAAGGGGATCTGGTGGCATAGTCTGTAGCATGTTGTGCTGTTTGCCATAAAGGCTGCGTATCTCTAGTGGTTCAAATTCACCAGTTGCTCCACAGGAGAAAGATAAACAATCTCCTTTCACTAGGATTTATAGCCTGAGAACCTGTTAGGGGTCACTATGAGTTGGAATCTAGAATACCACTATAAAGAGCTGCACTGCCACTATGAAGGCACAGGGTTCAAATCTACCAGCTGCTCCACAGGAGAAAGATGAGCAGTCTTCTCAAAACTCGGTGATTTTCTGCCTCTGAAAATCTGCTGGAAGGTCAGCTGTTTAGTGGTTCATAGTAACAACAATGAATTGAAATCAACTCAGTAACTGAGTTTGTTTTTGGTTTTTATGCATATTATAATGAAACTGCCTAAGCCCTTGGTCCTAGTAGTCTGGAAATCAGGAGATTTTATTGCTCTGGCAAGGAAATCCCAAATTACTGAGAAGCAATGGTGTCAGTTTGACAACTAAGGTACGTCTGATTCAGGGAATGATCTTTCTAATCACTTGATATGCCTCTGAGAGCTGAGCAATGAATAAAGGTGACAAAAAGAATTGATGCCTTTGTGCTGTGATGTTAGAGAAGAGCACTGAATATCCTATGGACTGCCAAAAGAACAAACAAGTATATCTTGGGAAAAGTGTAGCCAAAGTGCACTTTGGAGGCAAAGATGATAAAGCTTCACCTCATATACTCTGGGCATGTTGCTAGGAGGGGCTATTCCTTGGAGAGGGACACAAGGCTCGGAAAGGCAGAAGGTCAGTAAATGAGAAAAAGACCCTCACCAGATGGACTGACACAGTGACTGCTGCAGTGGACTCTGGCATGTCAGGAAATGTGAGGATAGGAGAGGACAGGGTTCAGCTTTTCTTCCCGTAAGTTCAAGAAATCCTTCAATAAGTTATTCAAATTTTCTTTGCTTTCATCAAACAAAGTAGTATTTACATGACTCAAGTTGAGTTTTCATCTAATCCTGAGACCACTTCTTTTTATAATCCATCATCTCACATTATTTGCTCAGCATACATATTGGTGAAAGGACACAACCCTGAGGCGCACCATTCCTGATTTTAAATTCTGTAATATCCCCTTGTTCTGTCTGAATGGCTACTTATTGGTTCATGTACAGGTTCTGCATGAATATAATGAAATGTTGAGGAATTCCTCTTCTTGTCAATGTTACCTATAATGTGTTATGATCCACATAGTCAAATGCCTTTGCATAGTCAATAAATCACAAGTAACCATCTTTCTGGTATTCTCTGCTTTGAGCCAAGATACATTTTAATCAGGTCACAGCCCTGACAATATAAAGAGAATTTATCTAGGGTGAGATCACCTTTTGTCTTGCAAGAGATAAAAATAAAGGGAAGTGGGCAGAGAAGGGAAGATGTCAGTAACACTAAGAAAGAAAGAACAGGGGTAAAATACAAACTTTCATCCAGAATCTCCGCATAGTAAATTTCTCATTTTTAAGAAAAGATCTAAAAAAAAGAAAGAAAGAGAAGAAAAGATCTATGCCAAGACACATACATAGCAGTCTCTAAGGAAAGCCAGGACTACAGGTTCTGAAGAAACAGAACCTTCAGATCTGAGGAAGACTTTCCTTAAATCCAGGACCCTGAATCTGTGTTCTGAGGTCTGCTTCCTGGTCTAGGTATACGTTTCATATAAACACAAACAAGGTTTCTGGTATTCCCATTTTCCTCAAGCTTAGCCACAATTTGTTGTGATTCCAATAGTCAAATGCCTTTGCATAGTCAATGAAACAGATATAGACATTCTTTTGGTACTCTTTGCTTTTTGCCAAGATCCATTTGACATTGGCAATAATGTCTCTCTAGTGCTGTGACCTCTTCTAAACCCAGCTTGTATTTCTGGTAGTTCTCTGTCAAAGTACTGTTCCAGTTGTTTCTGGATAATCTTCAGCAGGATTTTGCTAGTGTGTGATATGAGTGATATTGTTCTATAATTTCCACACTCTCTCGGGTTACCTTTTCTTTTGAATGGGAACAAATATGGATCTCTTCCAGTCAGTTGACCAAGTCATTGTCCTCCAGATTTCTTAGCACAAATTGGTGAATACTTGCAGGGCAGCATCTGTTTGCTGATTGATATACATCAATTCCTGGGGCTTTATTTTTTGCCAAGTCCTTCAGAGCAGCCTGAACTTCCTCCTTCATCACCATTGCCTCTTGATCATATGTTGTTTCTTGAAATTCTTCTGCGTCAGCCACTTCTTTTTGGTACAATGACTCAGTATACTCCTTAAATCTTCTTTTAATGCTTCCTGAACCATTCAATATTCTGCCCATAGCATCCTTAAGTATTGCAACTTGTGGCTTGAATTTGTTCTACAGTTCCTTCACCTTAAGAAATGCTGAGTGAGTTTGGCCGTTTTGATTTTCTGACTCTAGAAGCTTGCACATTTCATTATTATCCTTTGCCTTGTCTTTCTAAGTTCCCCTTTGAAATCTTCTATTCAGCTCCTTAACTTTATGATTTTCCCCTTTGCTTTGACTTCTTGGTGTTTTATTGCAATAATCAGAGTCTCTTCTGACATACATTTTGGTCTTCTTTTTCCCCTTCCTTCTTTGTGATGACTTTTTGCTTTCTTCATGAACAATATTCTTAATATCTTCCCAAAACTTATCTGGTCTTTGTTCATTAGTGTTCAAGGCCTCAAATCTATTCCTTGGTTGGTTTTAAATCCAGGAGGAATAGACTCAAGGTCAAATTTTTATTCCTTTGGATATAATTTAACCTTCTTTAGCTTTAATTTGAGCATGCATATGAGTAGTAACAGTCTGTTCCACAATCAGCACCTGACTTAGTTTTCACTGCTTAAAATATTATCTGTAAAATGTCGGATCTGTTCCTGTTCACTTCTTATCCATGGCAGAACCAGTTTAACCAGTAAATAGGTGTTGTACATAAATTGGATATTCATACCCAGACACTGCCTGTGTTCTATAGTTGGTAATTTTGCATTTGCTTTCCTGTGTAATCTTTTGGAAAACTTTATTAGAGAATTGTGTTTAAAAAGAAATAGTTATTTGTGAGTAGGTCTATTACCAATGTCATTCACTTTCAGTAAATATTTGTTAACCAAAGTCAGGTTTTCAGCAAGATTTTACAAATGTCATCCATTGGCAATTCTTTCTAATTGGTTTAGTTCTATCTCAGTCACTCTGATAACTAAAACATAGTGTGCACTCTGGCAGTAGCTTGGAGAGATCCCTGACAGTAAATTTTCCTGATATAAAACGTCTCCTGATCACCTGAAAGGCTGGCGCCAAGGGTTTTGATTGTTGATCCAAGTATAATGAAATTATTAACAATTTAAATCTTTTCTCTGTTTATTATGATGTTGCTCATCGATTCAGTGGTGAGGATTTTTGTCTTCTTGATGTTGAGATGCAATCCATGTTGAAGGCTCTAGTCTTTGATTTTTCTACAGCATACTTTCAAGTCTTCCTCATTTGCAAGCAAGCAAGGTTGAGTCACCTGTATTATGCAGATCATTGATGACTCTTTTTCCTATTCTGATGCCACATTCTTTCTCACAGAGAAGAGCTTCTTGAATAATTTGCTTAATAATAATTCAGTGCAAATTGACTAGGTATGGAGAAAGGATACAACCCTGACACCTTTCCTGATTTTAAACCATGCAGTATTCCTTTGATTTGTTCAGACAACCACTTATTGGTCTACATATAGGTTATGTATGAACATAATTAAGTGTTTGGGATTCCTGTTCTTCTCAATGTTAGTCATAGTTTGTTATGATCCACACCGTCAAATGTTTTTTATATCTTATTCTATTTAGAAACAAGTACATTAATAAGCACAATCACATTGATTTATTTTCAAAAGGTGAATATTTTAGTGTATTTAAATATTAACTTCACAGGCAGGAACTAAGTCTTATAAATGAAAATTCACTTTTTTATTGCTTTACCTTCATTCTGCTTTTGGGTATGTTTCAACCTTTCTAATAATAGATAGTGCCTGTCTTTCTCTAATAATTTATCAACTTGGTTTTGATAAACATTTCTTTCAAATTTGAGTATTTTGGATTTTTTTTCTCTATTGTTATGTGCCATCAAGTCCCCTATGACTCATAGTGACCCTATCTATGTACAGCAGCTCTGAAGCCTGCCGTGTCTGAGTCGAGCTTACTGATTCCACACACCTACCCCTATTACTCCAGTTACTATATCAATCCAAATCATCTGGGGTTGTCCTCTCCTGCGCTGTCTCTCCACTCTTTTGAGCATGATGTCCTTCTCCAAGGATTGGTCACTATTAGCCATGTGCCCAAATTATATGAGACAGAGCTTCAAAATCCTAGCCTCCAAGAAGAAACTTGGTTTCACAGTCTCCAAGATAGACCTCCAAGAAGAAACTTGGTTTCACAGTCTCCAAGACAGACCTATTTGTTTTCTTGCTGGCCCATGACTCTTCTGTTCAAGACTCTTCTCCAGCACCAAAATTCAAAGGCATCAATTCTTCTGTCATCCTTAGTCATTGTCCAACTATCTGGTGCGTAGCAAGTAATTGTAAAGACCATGGCCTGGATTAGGTGTATCTTGGTTTCTAAACTGACATTGTTCCTTGTTAGTACTATGGAGAGGTCCCTGATAGCAACTACCGATATTATTAAAAATTTTAATCAAGTTTATAAAATACCCTTTTCTGATTTACTCAAACATATATTATATTACATGAGCTTTAAAATAATTTTGTATAATAATAAGACATGTATTACCTTGATTTTATATAAAAAAAGTTGAGTGGGAGTTGACATTTTTGTTCACGGCTAAATACTAAATTTTGGGGCAAAGACCACATTCTGTATCTTCAAGTGTCATGTTATTTCTACCATATAGCTCTTATATAGATTTGAAGTCTGAGTTAAACTAAAAAGTAGTAGTTCTATTCTTTGAAAGCATTTTAGTATACTTTGAATTTTTGTTTTGCAGGTTCTTATGTTCCTGCAGAATATTCTTCTTTTAGAATTGCTGAACAAATTTTTACAAGAATCAGTACTGATGACGATATTGAAACAAATTCATCAACATTTATGAAGGAAATGAAAGAGGTAACTGAGTGAAATTTTCTTATGTTAATAAGCTTACTATATTCATCGATTCTTGAAGAATTATCCTATTTTTATATTGAAGCATGGAGATATGTTATACCTCTCTGTAACTGCTAGAGGGCAGTCAAAGACAACTTCCTGACATCTACCGTATGTGGAAATGGAAGTAACTTTTGTTGAGAAAGTTTTAACTCATAAAATATATTTTCATGTTCTTATATGGAATGTAGAAAATACTTATTTTCCGAATATTTTGACCTCTTTCAGGCCATTTTGTATAAAATATCTTGTTCCTATAGGCTTGATTTTGAAATAAAAGATATTAAAAGAAAGGCATTTTAAAAAACATACCCTTCATTGCCCTTACAGAATTTTTACTTCTTTATTTTTTTTAGAATTTTTACTTCTAAAAGCAAATTATTCATATCACTTATTCCTACTTCAAGTACATTTGAGGAGCTAAAGGAATCAAATACAGTTTTGTGGCTAATATTAGTAATTAGAAGTTATTGGCTCACCCTATAATTAGATAAATTACTGGCTCACTCTATAGTATGATACTTTCTTGTAAATAGACATATACTATTTTTACATAATTATTCAATATATATTGACTGGAATTTCTGAGTGGTGCTTGGCTACTTACTTGCTGTAAGGTCGACAGTTTGAAGACACCCAGAGATGCCTCAAAAAGAAAATCCAGGGGATTTGCTCTCAAAAGGTTACAGGCTTGAAACTCGACGGAGCACAATCCTGGTCGTCAAACATAGGTCACCAAGAGTCAGAATTGACTTGATGGCAGCTGCTTGATTTTTTTTTTTAAATTCATTGAATATCTCAGGGAGAGCATAGGTATTTACTAGGAACCCAAGCTGTATTTTTAAATGGTCATAACCTCCAGTTACAGGGGACTCAGCGGCACATAACCACAACAACATAACCTTTAGGAAACTTCTAAAAAAACCCAAAACCCAACCACAAAATAAACTTGTTTTGGAGTCAGGAACTAATTAATAGCTGACTCTTTACTAGATTTCCAAGGCTGTACATAGCACAGGCAGAGTTTGCCCATCTTTTCCCTCAAGAGTGGCCTTTGGGCTGGCAGCTTAATTCCCTATCGACTACGCCACCACAATTCCTTCGTAAGAAGCTTTGTAACATAAAAAAGTAAAACAGACACTAAATTTACTTTTGTGTTATTATGTTATTTTTATGTTATATGGGAGCTCGCTTTGGTGGTTCAGTGGCAGAAAGTTGTGCTGCTAACTCAAAGGTCCACAGTTCAAATCCTACAGAGATTCCATGAGAGAAAGATGGGCAGTCGCCTCCTGTGGGATGTACAGCCTCTGAAAACTTTTTGCAGGGTCAGTTATGTATCAGTTCTGACTTGATAGCAATGGGTTTTTATTAAAGCCACTTCCTTTTCCGTGAATGAAGCTAGTAGTTTCAGTGGTGAATAACAATTGATATAATTGAAGTTTCAGTTTTTGTTGGTTACAAATTTAGAATTTATTTAACAAAGACTCATGATCTTGAGATCTAGTTTCATCAAAAAAATGAGCAAAATACTTAAAGAGAAGATATAAACTGCCAACAAGCATTTGAACTAATTAATGTTGAACATCATTAACCATTGTTGTTTTTGTTGTTATGTGCTGTCGAGTCGTTTGCGACTCATAGCGACCCTATGCACAACAGCCCTAAACCCTGCTCTATCCTGCGCCAACCGCAATGCCTCTGACACCCCCATCCCGATTACCCCAGTCACTGAATCAATCCATCTCATAGAGGGTCTTCCCCTCCTGCGCCGTCCCT